TGGGACACCTTTCAGGGTTGACACATGCACACCTAAGGCCTGGTTGATGTCCTTTTGATAGCGCCTGCACAGTATAGGTACAGCAGGCATCTTGCTGCCCATACCTGTGCAGTATCGGCATGTTGGCCATCTTTTTCTCTTGGCTGCCCGCAGCTGGGTACTATGGGTGAGGGATGGCTCACAGATGGAACATGCTCAGGAAGAGCTGAGAGGGTCATGTTTTCCCTCGATGTTGGGAGACACATGGATCATGTAACAGCAAAATAATTTGTATCCTGCGCCACAGGGTTTATTGGATGACCAGATTTGGGAAACTTTGTTAACCCTTGCTGCCAGCTGGTCAGCACCTGCTCGGGGTCCATCATGATGGCAGTTATGAGCTCAAGGGAATAGGGGGATCTGAGATACCTAACTCAAGGCTACTATGAGTGAGGGGGTGTACCTACGGCTTACAACGGGGACTCATCTTCAGACAGGTATTTTGTTAGCCCACCATTTGCCTTGCTGCCCTCTACTAATGCATCTAGTGCCCCTTATTCCTTTTAGTAAGATTTTTTTTTTTTTTGTGGCAGGTTTTTTTTTTTTAAGGGGGGACAGATTTTCACAATGCTACATGCATCTAGCTGTATAGAGCATAAGCCTTGTCCCTCCTTCACTGCACCGTCCAATTCTATATCTGACGCAACTAGGACTATTGCAGAAAACATATGGGAGGGAAGGATGTGAAAGTAAGGTGCATACCTGCTCGTGAGTTTCATTGTTTGCTGCCCATGGAAAGAGAAAGAGCTTGTCTTATCTCTACAAGACTGCCCTATGATTACCACTATGGGTTGCCTTAAGAGGAAGGGCCTTCTGAGTCACAATCCCTGTTAGGGGGGGATGTTATATGTGGGTTGGCAACATCCAGGGAAATTATTTGCTCCTATACAGCCATTTGGTCAGTATGTACCCCTTAGAGTAATCTTCCTGTTGGTAGTGCCGGAGGTAGATGCAGAAGTCACTGGCTTTTGACAAATCTCTGACCATTCTGGTGGAAGATGTTCAAACTTTTCAAAATTGGAGGATAAATGGTCTTCTCCTGAAGTGGGGGGTTGCCCTTATTTGCTCTTCAGGTAGTGGCTTCTATATAAGTGTATGGCATATGCTCCAAATACCCTTTCTGTGGATGCTGGAGTCCTCAGGAGGTTGGAATTCTGGGGGCTCCACAGTAGTGGGTAGTCTGTTTCCTGACATTCACATCAGCTTTTGTGCTGGGACTTCTTTTTTTGTTCAGATGCTTTAGGTACTGGTCTGCAGAACTGGAGTGTAAGAAATGCCTGGAGATAATTCCTTTAATGGAAGAGTGTCTCTTTAGAATGGGTTGGATGCAGTGGTGCCACAAGGGGGGTGTCACCCCCCTCTGAAAAGTTGGGCGCTCGGTCATGGACCGAATGCCAGACAGTATCAGGAGAGAGGAGGGGACACAGCAACGTACCTTATCCCGCCAGGTGACTGTCCCCTCCTCTCTCCGCCGACGTCCATCAATAAGATGGCCACCGGCAGGTATCAGAAGATTGCCACGCGTGCGCTGTGACGTCTCGGCGGGGTGACACCGGCTAACCGCTCCGGGTGTCACCCTGCCTCGGGACGCCCCTGCTTGGACGTTTTCATTTAGTTCGGGGTGGATGTGACTTTAATGCCAGAATTCTTAGTGTTTGCTGGAAATGCTGAATTTTACATTAAAATGGTCACGTTTGGTTTTATGTCGGACCAGCCATTGTATCAATCACCCAATGTCATCACTTCTAGTGACGCGCGATCAGCTGACAGTAAAAAAGCGTGTTCCTGCACACACGCTCCACATTCTGATGAGGGGATGTCACATTGGTAGTCAGATTTGGCCCTAGTCTTTACAGCGCATGAGTGGGAATAACAATAGGATTTTAGTACCGTGGGCGCAGTACCCTTGGTAGTAAATCCAATCGTTACTGCCTGTAAAGAGTCTAAAGACTAGGCACAAATCTGACCAATGTGACATCAGCTCATTAGAATGCGGAGCGCATGCGCAATAAGCTTTTTATTGTCGCACCTGATCGCGTGTTCTTTTGAATTAACCAATTAATTTGAAAGATCCAAACTTCCCATCTCTAATAGGAGATAGTGGACTCTGTTAGACGAGTAGGATAATTGCAACATTGGCAGGGAGCCAAGCAAACAAATCTAGCATCCACAAGGTCGGCTCCGGTAGCTCCAACAGGGTGGAGTCACTGGAGTGAAAGGTGAGCCGCGGACGGTGCAGGGTGTAACACGGACTGCGGGAGCTAAAATGTCTGCGGAGTGTAACAGGTGAGAGAAAGCTGGGGGACGGGGTGAGCACATATTATGGGAATATAAATGAATCGGCTGTAAATATCTAAGCACTCCTATAATCTATTCCCGGCTGGCAAAACAGAAGCCCAATTTATAAAATAAATGACAAAGCAGAGATTAGATAACTCAGGTTACAGCCCTTTCTATGAGAAGGTGGGTGGCCCTGAAAAGGGCCTTTGGGTATATGAAACGGGCAGAATTACTGTTTAACCTCCGAACCCGTAGAGAGTGCGCCCCTGGCGTTTGAGAGCATAGACGACATCCATGGCGGTGACGGGCTTCCTCTTGGCGTGCTCGGTGTAGGTGACGGCATCGCGGATGACATTCTCCAGGAAAACCTTCAGCACTCCGCGGGTCTCCTCATAGATGAGTCCGGAGATGCGCTTGACACCCCCTCTGCGGGCCAAACGTCGGATGGCGGGTTTCGTGATGCCCTGGATGTTGTCCCGGAGCACCTTCCTGTGCCGCTTAGCGCCTCCTTTCCCCAGACCCTTCCCGCCTTTGCCACGACCAGACATAATTACTCTTCGTTCTGCTGCGACAAATTAAACTGCTGCTGACTGGTCGCCTTTCTTTTATAGAGCCTGAGCGGACCTGATGGAAAACTTCCTATGAGAAGGGCGGAGTTAATGTTATTCGTCACACATAATTCATTTGTACTTGTTTTTAAGGCTTTTAAACATTCTGCAACCTTTTATATTCTGCAGCCTTTTAAGTAAAGGGGGAAAACGCATCTCCAGGAGGATTATATATATATATATATATATAACATTTTCTTTTTTTTCTAAAATAATTTGACACATTTAGAGGCTGAGTTCTACTTATGAAGAGGAAGCTGATCTGTTTCTCCAGATGCGTAGTGTTTACTGTATTGTTACAATTTCTAGTTCTAATTTCTAGCGGAGATGTAAATATTTGAGGGAAAAAAACAACCCTGGTTATGAAATGCGGAAAACGAATCTGTATCTGCTACATGTACATATCTGATGGAACAGTAAAATAAATATCGGTCAGTTACGTGTTCAGATCTTCCATTGCAATGAACACTTTGTAGGAAATAATCAATTAGGAAATGATCTGTAATATGTTATTTCACTATCGCCTGCTGTATGTAGTAATACGATTGATTCTGAAATCTGAATAATAAAAACAAGTTTGCTGTTTTCCAGTAACAATCGTATTTTTTCTCTTATGATTCCTGACTAAAAAATACAAATGTGATCGTCTCTATATTAAAATATTTATTTAAAGATTCTCTCCGTTTTCCGGGTCGGATTTGGCGTTATAACCGGCTGATTATTTGTCTGTAACGTTCTATAGAAAAACGGCGGGAGGTTTGAAAGTAGCAATGTGAAATCTGATCCAATCACTGTTATAGGCGTTCCCTTCAACAGCCAGTAAAATCCTCTGTACTCATAAAGGGAAACAAAACATACATCTAAGTTCTGTTTTCTTGTCAGTTCTGAGGCTGTTTCATCGGAGAATCAAATGTTTTTGATTTAAAAAAATAAATAAATGACATGAATATAATGTGAGGAAGGAGAATTCTGAGAGGAAACAATACGATCATGACATTGTAGATCTTCCAGGACCCCGCTACAGAGGCGATGTATCATGTGACCACCAGGTGGCAGTGTTGTTCCTCCATAGAGGAGACATTGGAGTCTTGTATTTGTATTGTATCCATATGTAACTGATGTAAGAACTTGCTCAGATTTTATATCAATGTTACATCTATAAACAATTGTAACAGTGTCTGCTAAGGGAAAAACAAACACTCGATTTGCCTGGCACGTGGAGGTAAATGCTTTGGGCACCATGTATTACTATTTAACCTCTAAAGTAACCTCATTCAACCAGGGTGCCTTCTGGCTTCTTGATGTAGCAGCAACATTTTCACAAAGCATTTCTATGGTGCAGAGATGGCAGACTGCCAGCATCATGCAGATGAGCGACTGGAATCCAGGGAGTGTGTGATACATTCTGAAAGAGATGGAAGTTTGCTCATTTCCAGGCGTGTGCTACTTCCTTGCATCTGTTACACATTGGACATTGGAGCGGTGTCTTGGATCTTATCCGGATGGAACTGATCCAACTTGCTGAGTTCAACATTTCTAAACAGTAAATCCGTGAACAATCCAACAGGTGTCAGGAGTCCATTAGAAGTGTGAAGGCACTGGAAGTGGGCAATTTAATTCAGCAGTTGGGAGATACACGGGAATCAGTAATTGGATTTTGAAGCAAAATTTCGGATTGATTGAGAAGATGGAAGTTTGTGAAATGTTACAAGAAAGCTAATTGAAGTCTATTGTGAACGAATCTACTTATTCTTATAAAGTGCAGTCATCTATAGGACAGATAACTCATTATTATTATCTGTTTATTAATCTGTTCTTTTTATGTAGAACTCAGAGCATTGTGTGATGTGGAGTGACGTCACAATAACGTTATGTATAAACAGAAATACAACGGGCTACTCAACTACCTCACAGAACGGACACATTTAGGCGGGTATTTTGAAAAATGTCGCTTTGTTAATTCAACCAATCATGAAAAGAGGCGGGAATATACTATCCAATTAGAGGGTTTGGATTGTGTATAAAAAGCGCTGAAGAGCGGCAGTGTTTTATATTCTTTGCTTCAGTGAAGAGTTGAGTAGAGATGGCGAGAACTAAGCAGACAGCCCGGAAGTCTACCGGCGGGAAAGCTCCCCGCAAGCAGCTGGCCACCAAAGCTGCACGCAAGAGTGCCCCGGCCACCGGCGGAGTCAAGAAGCCTCACCGTTACAGGCCCGGCACTGTGGCTCTCCGAGAGATCCGACGCTACCAGAAATCCACCGAGCTGCTCATCCGAAAGCTGCCCTTCCAGCGCCTCGTCCGCGAGATCGCCCAGGACTTCAAGACCGACCTGCGCTTCCAGAGCTCGGCCGTCATGGCTCTGCAGGAGGCCAGCGAGGCTTATCTCGTAGGACTCTTCGAGGACACAAACCTCTGCGCCATCCACGCCAAAAGGGTCACCATCATGCCCAAAGACATCCAGCTGGCCCGCAGGATCCGAGGAGAGAGGGCATAAGAGGAGACCCCGCCATCATCAGCCCCATTACACAACACAACGGCTCTTTTCAGAGCCACCACATTTTCTGATAAAAGAGCTGTGTACAGTATGTTGTCGGCGAGTATTGTAGAAACACATTTTTTTCTTTTTTATTATACCCGTAATATCAGCAGAGCTCCTCTGTACTGCTGCTCTGGGCTCAGCTCACTTCTACATTTCTTACCTTCACAGCTGTGGAAATAATAAATCTGAGCAGCAAAAATGTTCTAGAAACAAATCCATAACAAAAGTAACGTTTCACACTTCCGGTGTATAGAAGACACCTTTTTCTATTAGATCTCTGCTATTCCTTCATGTTTCATTCTTACAGAGACATAGATGAAAGAAGTTGCACATTGGCAGTCTTGGTGCTTCAGTGTGTAGTGCTCTCATTTTGGGAAGATACATTGATGTCGCTCTGTAGAGATTTGTGAATTTCTGATTATTAGGAGGTTAAGACCTGAGGAATGAGCAGCAAACTAAAACATGGGATGCACCATGAAGCTTCCTGATGTCCTGGACTATCACCTCCGGTACCACATCAGAGAACTCTGCTAAATATCAGATATTGGAGAAAGGAATTATTCTTTTTTTGATGGGGAATCTGGGAAAACTGCGAAGTCTCTGTTTACTGATTTAGCAGACCCTTATTCACCCGCCAGATGGTTGATAATGAATCCTTTTGCTATAATTTCAAAGTAATGCAATTTCGGCGGGTAATTTAAATCTGTCCGGCTCCACCAATCACAGTTGTGGTTGTGGCTAGCCAATGGAAGTGTCATACCATTATACAATACTTCTGAAATGCAGTCGGAAGTGGTTTGCCTCCAGTTCATTTAACACTTAGAGGATGTGTCTTTCGATCACTAGCAGTAGTTTCTTTATAATGTTCAAGTGACGCTCTTGGTGTTTATTGCATTTTCTGTGTAAATTGCTTTTAGCGCGAGAACATAGAAGAGACAGAAGGCGCTGTGCAGGAATTCTATAAGATTTCATTTTCAACCTCTCCAACCCGCAGATCACAGCAGACAAGTTGAGGGCACTGGAAAGATCCCGAATAGATTCTCCGATCTACAGGATCACTTGGTTTTCAGATCTCTGTCAGTTGTGATAAATTATAAATGTATGCATCATAAGGAGATCGTGCAGGCAAAGGTAACATTAAAGATCGAGGTGTATGTATGTGGAGCTCGTTTGGGAGAAGGTGGGTGGCTCTGAGAAGAGCCTTTGGGGTGTGTAGGAGATGAGATAAGCTCCGTCTTATCTCTTCTTGGGAGCAGCCCTCTTGGGCTTGGCTGCCTTCTTAGCCGGACTCTTGGCTGTCTTGGGCCTCGGCGCCTTCTTAGCCGGGCTCTTTGCTACTTTTTTGGGCTTGGCTGCCGCTTTGGGCTTCTTTGGGCTCTTTTTGGCAGCAGCCGGTTTCTTTGCCGCCGGCTTCTTGGGACTCTTGGCTTTGCTCGGGGCTTTCTTGGCCGCCGGCTTCTTCTTGGGGGACTTGGCGGCTGCTGGTTTCCTGGGTTTGGCGGCAGCTGCTGGCTTCTTCACCTTTTTGGCCACCGCCTTGTCTTTGCTCTCCTGCTTCTTGTTGATCTTGAAGGATCCGGAGGCTCCGCTGCCTTTGACTTGCTGTAAGCTCCCCTTAGTGACCAAAGCCTTGAGGGCGATCTTCAGTCGGCTGTTGTTCTTGTCCACATCGTATCCTGCGGCGGCCAGAGCCTTCTTGAGGGCGGGCAGGGAGACCCCGCTGCGCTCTTTGGAAGCGGCCACGGCTTTTAGGATGAGATCGGACACGCTGGGACCGGCCGGCTTCTTACTGACTTTCTTGGCTCCTCCGGCTGCTGCTGCCGCCTTCTTGGTCGGCTTCTTCTTGGCGGCGGGCTCCGCTGGAGGAGAGGCGGCCGGGGCGATCTCAGTCTCTGTCATGATTCTAGAAACAGTCGTACAAAACGATAACTGTTACGCTCGGCCCACTCTGCCTTTATATAGTTTCGTTCTGAGCTGCTATTGGTTGGTCCTGAGCTAGCAGCTTGTCCTGCTATTGGTCCCTCATCTGACACGCCCACTGACTAACACTCTGCAGTTGGGGAATCTTCTCTCTCATGTTGTGTTTCCCTCATACAGAGAAAAACGACTTTTATCTGAAATAGAACGATGTCCGATCTTCATTGGGGACCCGATCTGATCGCTGGACTGTCACTTATCGGGGTGTCACTTACAGCTGTCAAGAGCTGCTGAGGAGGCTGAGCACAGAGGCGGCAAAGCCAAGCATCCTCCTGAGTGGGGGTCACATTCTTCCTTCTACCTTGTTTTAGAGACGAATAATAAACATGAAATCATCTTGTCACATCTCCCACTAGAATGATCTTCACATGAGATGAGTGAAGAGTGATCATCAGGAAACATTTCCCTATAATACACAACTCTAGCCATCTATAGGTGAGGAGAAGGAGCCTGGAACAAAAACATCAGGCGGTGACATGATGAGAGCCTTGTGTTATGTGATGGGGAGATATCACTGTAGATACAGATATCACTGTAGATACAATGTGTCTGCTGAGTATACAATGTCATGTTATACCATTTTTTGGGGACACATAGAGCTTTCTTTTGGTGGTATTTAATCACCACTGGGTTTTTTTTTATTTTTTACTATATTAAGAAAAAATTATCGAATTTAAAAAAAAACAAAGTTTTCCCCTATATTAAATGATAAAACATTTATTATTACCCATTTTATGGTAAAATATAAAAGGCGGGGTCACGTCGGGTAAAAAGACACCAAACATGTCAAGCCTTAAAATTACGCGCACGCAACCTCAAGAGACTACAATACACAAAACTGGCCATAGGCAACGCTTTAAAAGCTTTTACAGCTCATCAGTTTAGTGTGATCAGTGATTGATAGCCCTAAAATTATTGCTCTCACTCCGACGTTCACGGCTATATGTAAGATGTGTAGCGCAATTGTTGTTTTCGCGCGCTGGTGCACCGGATTCGTATTTTCATTTTATGTGCGTAAACGTGTGGGGGACTTAAAAATTTGGGGTTTTTTTTGTGACTTTTATTTATTTATTTTACTCTTTATGTTTTTTTTACACTTATTGTTATTGCTAATACATAGGTGGATAACAATCCCCCTATATAATAGCAAAGGCACACTGCTAGGTCCACTTTATTGAGACATTAGGGGTCTCCTAGACCCCTAATGTCACCTGGAGACCCCAATATAAGCTTCGTCTCTCTGGCAATAGCAGCCAGATGACTGACAGGTGAATGCGGAAGTGATTTAGTACACATCACTTCTGCATTCACAGCATGGAGGGAGGTCAGCAAGGAGGAAGATGCTGACCTCCCTCCCATCTTACCTCCTGACACCCTCCCGAGCTGCCCCCGGGCCGCAGATGGGGCAGCGGATCCCGGGATTGAAGGTGAGGGGTCACACAGCCAGCACATGGAAGGCTATAGAACCGACGATCGTGTGTATGTGAAACAGAAGGTAATGGCTCTTTGCATTGGACGGGTTTCTTCTGCACGTGCGCGCAGAAAATAATGCCATCTCACGACGGCAACCCGCAAATGCGAGTCCGCCGTCCATCCATTTTTTTGCAACGGGCCGACGGCAAGCGGTTGTTATTAATAAATACATAAACTAAAAAAAATAAAGAAATGAACACACCATACACCAGGGATTTTTCTTTTCATATGTCTTACAGGCCAGCATTTGATATACACAAAATATTCTATTTAAAGGTTTGGGGGGTGTCTTTGGACTTGGAATTAAAAAAAAAAAAAAAAATCCGGCTTCCTTAATGGGACTTCCTGTATTGGTATTCGGTATCGGCGAGAACTGAAAAAAGAATATCGGTACTCGTACTCAATACCGAAAAAACGGTATTGGTGCATCCCTAATTATTACAAACTATATATATATATATATAGTATCTCACAGAAGTGAGTACACCCCTCACATTTTTATAAATATTTTACTATATCATTTAAAACAGAAGAAATGACACTTTGCTACAATGTAAAGTAGTGAGTGTACAGCTTGTATTGTATATCAGTGTACATTTGCTGTCCCCTCAAAATAACTCAACACACAGCCATTAATGTCTAAACCGCTGGCAACAAAAGTGAGTACATCCCTCATCCACCTAACCAAACGCCCAGTGTCTGCAACCCCCCTCTGCCAATCCCTGCACTGGCTTCCAATAGCCCAAAGGATACAATTCAAAATATTAACAACCATTAATAATAATAATAATAATAATAATACCCAACATTGGTTCTAGGCTAGTGATGAGCCGAACACCCCCCTGTACGGTTCATATTCGGACTTTCGAACATGGGAAAAGTTATAATTTGAACTCAAACTAGAGTCCCCCTAAAATTCCCAACCAGATCCTTGAGGGGGGAATCCAGCCCCTCCCCTGTCACGGCAGAGAGCTGTGACAGGATCAAGAGGTGAGCGAACGCCGGTATGTGTTCACTCACTTCCCGATCTACTGAGCCGACCTGTGACAGTCTCATTGTCACAGGTCGGCTAGAACTATGAGGTGAGTGAAAAGCACTCACCTCATAGTTCTCCTTTAAAGTTTTAAAAAAGAGGCCAGACTTTTGTAAAAATCCTTTATTTAAAAAAACAAAAAACAAAAGTCTTTTATTATTTTTCGTTCATCGTCATGGACAACACTGGAGCATCACAAGCTCCAGCGTGGTCCATGACGACTCAAAAAAAAAAATAATACAAGAAAAAAATAAATAGAAATAACAATTTAAAAAAAAATGATGCACACCGAAGTGTCCGCTTGCGACAAACTCCCGTTTCAGAATAGCAGTCTGACAAATGCCGGCAAAATATAAACAATTGGGTGGAGCAAGCGGTGACAGCTAGCTAGCTCCGCCCATCTGTTTACAGTTGTACGGCATCAGACAGGTGAGCCATGATTGGGCAAAGTCATCATTACTCTGCCCAATCACGGCTCTAACAGAGTACCGTGCCCGAACAGCCCGACGAACGCCTTGACAGTTTGTGTGTTCGGCCAACTGCCAATGTTCGAGTCATACTCTTGCTGGACTCGATCATCGAGCCCATGCCTAATAACCACCATATATGACCGTAAGAACCCAATTTACCACATTCTTTAAAACAATACGGGGAATGATGCAGCACACCTGCACTACGCTAGCACGATTTGTTGATTAACCATATTTGGGTCCATTTCTCATTCACCATTGAAACCCCAAATCCTCTTCCTGTTTGGATAGAAAGGCAGGGTTTTAAGCGGGGGAGGGTGTCACAAAATTAGAATAGAGAAGGGAGATCAGACCCTGACAATCTGGGTCATCCCTACATTTACATTCAAATGGGGTCAATATATGAGACTTATGGGGTCCAAGTGTTTTAGAAATAAATCCCATGATCTGTAGATATCTAAAAATGTGGTATTTGATTATGTTCTTTTAGGTATTAAAATAATGTAATACCTGTATAAGATTGGAATTTTCCATAGCGGCTTAGGTCGTGTTTAACCCAAGAATCAAAGGCCTTAGGCAACTCCATTGCCAGCTAGAGGGATGGATTATAAAGATAAGAAAGCATAGGCAAGTTGGAGAATTCTGCCAAACGTGGGATTCCTAAAGGCAAATAGAGTGAGCAGTGACGGAAATGGAAATAGTGAGTCTACTCTTAGGGGGAAGCCAGAATATATTATCCATATGGATAGGATAAAGAAATTCAGCCCAAGGTGAACCCACCGTGTTCCACATGTTGCATGATATTTCACAAGATAGCTAATTTGGGCTGCGTAAGAAATAAGTATTATTTATTTGTTAAGAGTGTCATTTTCACTGCAGTTATTCTTCTAAGCCCGGAAAGGTTAAATCCACACCATGCGGAAAGTAAGAACCTAAGTTTGGCAAACATGGGAGGGTAGTTGTCCTCATACAAGGTATCATACAAATTTGTTACATGGATCACTAGGTAGGAATGGTAGTGGACCACCATTGGAAGTGAAAGTTCTCTTGTAAAGTGGAAAGTATATGCAAAGGCAGAGAAATGTTAAGGGCCAGAGATTTACAGTGGTTTATAGAGAGACCAGACAAGGACATACAATTGTTGAGAATATGCATAAGTTTGGGCAATTATATTAAGGGGTTGGAGGGGAAAAGCAAGGCATCATCCACAGAGAGGCATAGCGTATGATGGGTACCAGGGCAAGACAAGCCCATTACATTGGTGTTAGTGTGAATCAATTGAGTTAAAGGTTTGATAGCAAGGGAGAAAAGAAAGAGGAAATCCTTGTCTTGTGCCTTGTTGAATTGGAAACAGTGAAGACTAAAAACCAGAATATCAGTGGATGAAGCAGACTAGTATGTTTTCCTCCTTTCCACCTTCTTCTCTCTTTTGCTTTCACCACCTGCAGGGTGAAAATGAATAACATATTTGGCTGATAGATAAACGTGGCTGAAACAATATACTACGTATACTATACATAGAGGGATGAGGAAAGATTGGTGCGTGGGGTTCCCCCTCAAAGTCATACTAGGCCATTAGGGTCTGGTAATTTTAAGGAGGAACCCACCCCCAAAAATGGGGGAAAAAGATGTGGGGTCCCCCCTAAAATTCCCAAGCAGACCCTACATCTGAGCACAGGCCTGGCAGGGCAGTAAAGTATGAAAGGGGGTGGGGGGGCTCCCTACCATACCAGGCCACATGGCCTCGGCACTGGGAAGGTGCTTTTCCACGGTCATGCTGATGGGGACAAGGGCCTCTTCGCAACATGCCTTGGGGCGTTTGTTGTCGGGGTGCGGGCATTGTGGCTTATTCACATCACAGTACCCCTTTAACTGCCTCCGGGCCGGACGTAGTAGAAAAACAGCCTGGCCCGGAGCTCTCTAGATCTGAGCGGGCGTCTTTAGACGTCCACTCAGACACGCCCCCTCGCGCGCGC